CAGCATGATATTTCTTTATTTCTATACTTTGTTTACTATATAATGGTATAGCATATGTAAATCATCTTCTAATTCTATGCTTCATATCTCAAAATTCTTATCAATTAGTTATTTATTTTTGAAAATATTTATCCTCAAGAGAGCTGAAGTATAGACATTATGTTTATGTTTTAGATACTTAAAACCTTTTGTTTAATAACTAACTGCTCAAAATTTGAGAAATGTCAGAGCCGAGTGGCCTTGTATAATATGCTTAAGTCCTGGGAGTCTGAGATTAAAGCCTAGGGCTAAATTATAAAGCACTCATTCTACAGGAAGGTTGGTATGAAAAATGAACATACACACATTTCCCCTAATTCTGAAAGAAATCATATGTATAAATAGTGTCTGTTAAAACTCCTGTCCTGGAGAAAGTCTGAGTTAGATTGTGTTTTTTGTTTTGTTTTGTTTTGTTTTGTTTTTTTGTCTTTTTCCGTGTCCGGCAACAGATCGCAACCCTCAGTGTCGCCCCCGTACCGGACCAGGACCAGCAACGGGATCGCAACCCTCGGTGTTGCTCCCGCGCCTCACTCAGCCAGTGAGCGGGAACTGGTCTGTATGTGGGATCCGAACCCTTGGCTTCCCAAGCAGCACACTATAGCAGTGCGCCACCGGGCCGGCCCTTGTTTTGTTTTGTTTTTTTAAAAAAAGCATACCCTCGGACATGTTTCTTAACCACTTTGACTTTAGTTCCTCATCTAAAAGTGGTAATAATACTACTCTTTACCTCAAACAAAAGTGATTGGTTTCAGGTCTATTCGGAGCCTACAACGTTCACCTCAGCAAATAAGAGACTGACAGGTTACATGTTCCAGTTTCCCCTAACAATTTTGAGAATGTAACCACAAAGCCTAAAAAAGGACAGGTAACAGAGAGATTCTTTGTTCTCTTGGCTCTTCAAGCTGAGAAGCAAGATGGGAGCAGACAATATCCACGATCCTCCCCTAGGGGCAGAAAAGAGAAGAGGATCTCTCCTGTTTCATAGTGGATTGACAAGTGTACTATTTCACAGTACATTGATAACGATGGTTTTAGCTGAGGGATTTCAGTGTCAGTACAGGGAAAGACACAGTGGGATGGACCAAAGGAGAAAAAGGATGACAATTACGTGTCTGGAATTCATGTGAATATTAACCAGAGGTAGGTGAAAGAGTTTAGTCTAATCCACCCAGGATTGTTTTCTTCTCATTTAATCTGATATAAGTGTAAGGATGTTACAATCTCCAGTTATCATGGTTCGCTGTGTTTTACCTCAGTATCTTGGATGACTAGTTCTGTACCTAGCACAAATGTGTAAAACACACCATAAAATAAACAGACAGCTAAATGAATTAGCATTATTTTGTTCATATTACTAATAATATCTATCAAGATTATATTTTGGACAAATTCTATTATTGTAAATAGCACAAATAGTAAAATAGCTAGGAAAAAAGTCCTGAGTCCCTAGCACCTGCAGAATGAACTCTCAATAGATGCCTGTTGAGTAAATGAAAAAGGGACCTCCTAGTTGCTTAGGTTGTTGAATTATAATTTAAAGGACATAAAGAGGATATTGACAAATCCACGAGATATTTCTTGCTAGAGAAGTCTGTGATCTTGAAGTATTTAAACATGAAATAAGCATTACCTGTCTTATAAATTTTGAAATAAGTATTTTATATAGCCTTGAAATAAATGAAAGTACCTTAATTTATGCATATAAAGAATGTTGAGAGGCCTTCACATATAGCATGGCAACACAGAAAAACATTCAAACTTCTGGAGTATAAGTGGAGTAGGTTCATTCTTGCAGGTGTGTAATGAATAATGAAGAATAAACACAAACCAAGAAGTTTAGAGTAAATAGGGAGTTTGGCTAGCATATCTAATTCTGTGTGTACATTTTCATGTTTTTGATATGTCAAAAACAGTTGGACAATATGAAAAGAAATTCAATTTGGCTAAAGACAATAGGATTTGAGTTTATTAAATGTTCATATGCACTCAGCAGTTTTGACTCACAAAAATCCGTCACTTAAGAATTGGTCACTCTTTTATGAGATTTAGAATAACATGAGTAATCGTGTATTCATAAATGCTTGAGACACATTCTGGCTACTTTTGAATATTATAACCTCTAAGAAGCCTTTTTGAAAAGAAAGATGAAACTTTTATGATTACAAATGCATTCATAATCTTGCTCAGTCAGCACTATTGCAGCTAGTAACATTGAAGTTCACAAGTCTACTAAATTGCTGGAGTGCAACACAGCTGTTTGGTTATTTTGGTTTGCTTAAGTCTTTCTCATGAATATGTGGCATTCAGCTAATTATATGACTAAATATCTGACTCACAGAGTAGTTCATTTACTGGCCACATGTGGACATGGTATTACTCTTCCTTTCCAGTGAAAAAGTATACATACTCTGCTGGGAAAGTGAACAGGCTGGACTTCTAGATTCAGCATAGGTTATACTTTCTGATGTGTCCTTCTGTCTTGCTATTTTCGGTACCTCTATTACCATCCCTCACAGAGCCTGGTTGGCTTATGCTCAAATATTAATTGCATCAGATAAGTTGGGTTGTCTCCTATATTAAAATCATTCTTGATAAATATTTTTATTCTAACTTCTTTTTGCTTCCAAAGTGAAAGTATCTATCTTTGAACACTCAGCTTTAACTGAAGAGCATCATACCTCTTAAGAGACAATCATGTTTCAGAAGCATGTCTAGTCAATCCTAAGAGAGTGACTGTTGGTTAAAATGGGATAGAGGGTGTGACTTTTAAATATGTGTTAAGAAAAAAAGTAACTAAAAATATAGAGTAATTAAGTGACGTTTTTTCTAAAAAAGATAATTTGGCAGAATATAATGTTTGCTGTCTTTCACTGGGTTGGTTCTGATTATTTTTTATAGTTATAGAGAAAATGAAGCATAGATATTGTTTTTCTACAATGGGAATCTTCTGAAAACAATTGCTGAGGAATCGTTACAGCAGAAAGATAGGTCTGAAGCCATCTTCCCAGACAGAAACGTGTTAACTGTAATGTTAACGAATGTTCTCTATATTATACCTGAAGGAGAAATGTCTATTATAATGATGCTCAGAATCACTTTTCCCCATAGTATTCAAACTCGTGTTATAATCAGATCGATTCAAATTTTAGATTATTTTTAATATTTGTACAGAGCACATTTTAGGACTTTAAAAATTGCCAAGTCCTCAATCTTCCATGAGTTTCACAATAAGATGTTCGCTTTGACATCTTATTTGCCATCTTATTTGACAAAAGAATTGATAGCAATTCTTTTTCAGGGCTGTCCTATTTAATACCCTTACCATGATGGGAATGAATAATATCTAATCTCAATTAGTAGCATGAATCATGGGTAGAAACAAATAGTCTATCACATAATATAGTGGATGTGATGAAAGATGTATGTCGAAAAGTAATTATCTTTAATTTCTAATTTCTAAATAATATCGTGTTAATTTTTTTTTCTCAGCTCACCCTAGATTATATAGAATTTGCTTAACTTTGTGAGATGAAAGTTACTTGTTGTTGTAGCTAAATATTGTCAGAGATCTAGGAAGTAATAAGATATATTAATTAAAAGAGATAAGGAAGGATACACAAGCTGTATTTTTAATAGCAGAACACACTTTACTTTTTAATTAAAATTTAACTTGTTTGAGAATTTAGTTAATGTGGCACAAGACATAAGGAAGAGAAATGTGAGGAACTTTCATAATGTTACCAAACCTGAAAAAAAAATGCAGAAACAGAAAATCTGTTTATTTCCCCTTCCCTTGAAAGATTGATGAAAGGAAAAAAAAAAAAATAAGAGATTGTGTGTGTGTGTGTGTGTGTGTGTGTGTTTATGAAGGCATAGATTTAATAGACTCTAATAGCTTTTTTCCAATATAGTAAACCCTTATTTGTTAAAAATCTAATTTTTCATTTTATCAGTGAATTAAAACCCAACTTTTAGCAAGTTGTAAATAGTTGTGTTTTTTTTAAAGCTGTTTTTTAAGTCAAGTACTCAAAGATCTATGGGACAGAATCAAAGAAGTATCACAACTTGGTTAAAGACAAATGCAAGGTGTTTTCCAAAGCATTCTTATAAGTATGGAATCAGGTTACATGAATAAAATCAGATCCAGATTCTTTTCAAGGCCCTATGGCTCCAGTGGAGAGAGCAGGACAACATACTCTGCCCCCTTCCCTTTATATGCATTCCCTAGGGATGCATATGGCCTAACAGGGCAAACAGGTGTCTTAAGGATGTCCTCAAAAGAAACAGAAAGGGTGGCATTTGATCTTATAGTAATGGCTTTTCTGCATTACTTAAAATCTCAGAAAGGCATATTAAATATGACATCTTTACTTTTCTTACTTTTCTTCCCTACTTAGGCCTATAGAAGGCAATTGTAAATATGTTAGTAGAAAATGCTATAAAGAATTGTACTTATCACCTAACCTCAGAGTACAGAATCGTCAACCTCATTTACTTATGTTTATAAAGTTGTTGAAAACTTAAGTTGACCAGTGCTACAGATTGGAATATCACATTCAATGTATTTTACTTACTTATAGAATAGCATATGGTTTAAATTGCCCACTATATGGCAGCAGAGCTCTTGTGAATTTACCATAATAAACTCACTTATTATGAACTCATGTCATGTGATTTTATGAAGATAACAGCAAAGTATTCTTAGACAACAGGTTGAATTAATAGAAATGACAATTTCAACCCTATACTAGGAGTGCACATCCTTATTGAAAGTAATATTTCTGCATGTGTGGTGCTTTACTGAAAATGTAATTTTACCAGGCAGATTAGCTTTTATTTATTTTTTTACAGCTGGTGAAAAAAAAACTGCTCATGCCCCATTCTTCTTTTCATGCAGACCATTTTATGAGTGAACGTTTCATACTTATTTTTCATTTGTTCATTAATTTTTTCTTCTTCAGGTGTAATCTAGCTCCTGTGGTGGAGTTTGCTGCAGATGTGGGAACTAAATCAGATTTTATTACCATGAATCCATCAGTTGTACAAAGAGCATTTGGAGGCTTTCGGAATGAGAGTGACAAAGAAAAATTTGTGCATAGACTTTCCATGCTGAATGACAGTGTCCTTTGGATTCCTGCTTTCATGGTCAAAGGAGGAGAGAAGCACGTGGAGTGGGTTAATGCGTTAATCCTTAAGAATAAACTGAAAGTGCGAACTGCCTATCCATCATTGAGACTTATTCATGCTGTCAGAGGGTAAGTGACTGGAAAGGACCAGTCTGTCCTTGGCACGATGCAACGTAACTAAACATTTTCCCTAGACAGGAAGGAGCTGCATTTAAATCTCTAAATGGATATATGTGTTCATTATTTTATAATGGTTACTCTATTCACAAACTTGAATGTTGTCTACATATCATATTATTTTAACTCATCCACTTTCTTGAAAAAGTAAATTGTTGAACTTGTCACTTATTTATGTCTGCTCATGAACAAACTACTGACTTTTATATTTTTCTGTGTTAAAGAGTAATAAGAATTCATAGTAAAATTGATGAGTTTTGGGTAAGAAAACTACAGCAGAAATGCTAAATGACTAGTGGGCAATATTGTGGAAGCATAAATGTTAGATGTATTTAAGGAGCAATTAAGTTCCATCTGTAGCCAAGAAGCCTACTAGTGAGAGAGAAGGCTGGCTGAGATAATAAGCCTTAATGCTTCCCCCGCAAAGTCACACATGCCGTTTTTATGAATTAAGTCAACATTTTCCTTTTAACACAAGCTCAGAAGAAAAAACATAAGAAATAAACTCTTGCTTAAAAGTGGCAAATAACCAAAAGGCGAAATTCAGTCATATATACTCATGTAAGTGTATAAAGTAAGACACAGATAAACAATTATGTATATTTATCAAATGTGTATGAAGTGTCAGATACTATAGATACAAAAATGAATAAGAGCTGATGACTGCCTTTAAGGAATGCATAGGCTTTACAGTGGAAACAGAGGCATATGACTTACTGGTAACAAGGGAGGACATTGTCAGGAGTGCATAATTTGTCCCTCGGGTTCACAAAGAATGCTGCAAAGCAGACCTAACATTTGAACTGGACTTTTAAAATGAAATAGAAATAGGAGAAAAAAGAGAGAAAAAGAAAACCAAACAGAAGGAAATATTGCATGATTAGAAGGAACTGAGACACGGAAATGATTATGTACACAGTAAATGTATGGGATAATGGAGTCCACTATAGAACACTGGAATACAAAGTTAGAAAAGTAACTAGGGATCTCGTTGGAAAAGGAAGCAGTTTCATCCTATATAAAGCACAGTTAAATGTATGTACTGGGTAGAGCTAATCTTGTAACTACAGACACTTTTCTGACAAGAAAACTGCTGGAGGCACAAAGACCAATTAGGCTTTTTGATTAATTTACCCAGGAGATGATAAAGACATAGGACAGAAGCAGTAGACGTGCAAAGGAAGTACAGCTTCAGGGAACTGATTAAAAACTGTGGATAGAAGTCCTGAAACATAAAGGTTTCCAAGCCCAGGGTAAAAAATAGTTTGCTTCATATGCTTTAACAGGAACTGGGCTGAGGTGTTTATCTTTTGTTTTGGTTTCTTTCTTTTGTTATTGTGATATTTTGACTTACTATTTCCTTTTTAAATTTCTAAATAGCTTCTTGTATTGTGTTATTCTGTACACAATTAACTTGCATTCTTATAATTAGATCATGGTCATTCACCATGCATTCTGTTGGTGTTTAACAGGAAGTTACAAAAAAGTGAGATAAAATATATGCACTTTGAGGATAAGTAACTATGTTTTTACGTTATAAACATTCCTCGTAATTATAATTCAACTCTGAAAACAATGATAATGTTCTTTTACAGTGCATAGTGTTAAGAACGTATCTTTTTTTTTTTTTGATATATCAATGTTGAGTATTATCTGATTCTGAGAAAAAAAGATAATTTTCCTTTTTAAACACACGTATACACACAAACAATCTCCAGCGATAGCTGATTAAGATTTAAAAACAAATACTCTGAAATAAGTAACTTTGAAAAACTAATGAGAAAAGTTAAGATTGGTCTGAATTAGTACTTTTGGTTTAAAGCCTGAGGTTTATGTATATCAATTCAATACCAGAAGCAAAACAAGAAACAAGAGGTGTGGTTGAAAAAGTGCATTTTCAATAAATTAGAATCCAGGTGGAATTATATATGATTAACAACAGTGAATTCTCACAGGCTTTTACAGACATTTTAAACACAAAAAAATGAAGATCCTTTTAGAAACTTATCAATACTTTTCTTTTATGTTTTGTCCTATTCACTTTTCTTTCATAACCGTTACGAATATAAACTACTTCACTAATTCCTAAGCATTTTATTTCAAAGAACAAGGGCAAAATTCAGACCACTTGTGAAAGGAAGGGTATACTTTCCTTTGGTTACTGTGCTTCAGGTGTTTTTGAGCAGACTGGTTTTGAGTTTTTCAGAAGTAACTTATTATTCCTGCTCAAATGTCTACATATTCCACATATTCCTTCTTAATGTGTCAAGGGATTGATTTCTAACCTGTGACCAAAGATATAAAAAGTAGCTCTAGAGTGGTTTGTCACTTTTCAAAGGGGGTGCAAATTTGTACATCTGGTGTATGTGAAAAGAAATTTTATTTATGATGTTATTGAAACTAGTACATTAACACATGCAATATAGCATTTTAACATAATGTGTATATGGTACAAAGCTACTAGAACTTGAAACAAAATAAGGAAGTGGGAACACCAATGAAACAAAGATCTGTGTGATATTAAAGCAAGGGCCAACCCCCCAGAAACCTATTCGTTAAGTATCTGTTTTACATCTCCTTTGAGGTATCTCTCTGAAACTCTGTGGTTAATACAATTTAGTAAAATAGTTTAGAGAGTTTCATATCCTCTGTTGATTACTGGAGTTTGCTGACTCTTATGAAAGGTTAAAGCATCAGGGCCACTCATTTTAGGATGAGCATCATCACACAATGTCAAAATGTGAAGGCCCTTCCAAGTACTGTAATTACAAATAGAAAGTCTAAATGATCTGGAAAACAAGATTCATGAAGACAACAAGGATCATTTAGGTAGTTACCACATGGTCAGGCTTCATTATTCAAACTCTTTCCTCTCGGAAAACAATGATGCCTTAGTAACTTTAAACACCCATTTAATTTTAGGGTTTTTTTAAAGGTCTAGAAATGAAACCATTAGTCACAAAACTTGAAGACATTTTTATATTTTGTTTTAGTGTATGGTCATTTCTCCAATGCCATATTAAATGAAACAAGAGGAAAAAATACAAGGGTACTTCAAAAAGTACATGGAAAGATTCATACGTTATATAATTGCAAGTTTAAGAGAATGCATGAATGTGTTAAACTGGTGTGAGATTGCAACATTTTTATTGGAATTTTTTCATCAGCCCTGTGTTGTCTTCATTTTTTTGTTATCATTTTTTAATTTTTCTTGTAAAGAATGGAAAAATTTTCATAAGATTTTAAGAGTGAAGAGAGCATTTTGAAACTTTAAAATTACTTAAAAATATGATTATGAATTAGGAAATAAAGGTTTGTTTTTATACATTAATAATAAAATTATCAATGTGCAACTTAAAATCTCCTGAAAAAGACTGTTTAACCTAATGATATAGTTTTACGTAATATTTTAAATTATTATTCAAGACATATCTCAAAATACATTTTTATAAAGTATTTAGAGTTGGGCAAAAAATTCTATTTTTATAATTACTTTAATTTGGTTCATAATAACTAAGTGCTGGATTTCTTTTATTTATTTATTTATTTTTTTGGTGAGGTAGTTATACTCTAATTTTATTTTTTTCTATTTTTATTTTTTTTGTCTTTTTCCATGTCCGGCAACGGATAGCAACCCTCAGTGTTGCCCCCGTACCGGACCGGGACCGGCAACGGGATCGCAACCCTTGGTGTTGCCCCCGCGCCTCGCTCAGCCAGTGAGCGGGAACCGGTCTGTATGTGGGATCCGAACCCTCGGCAGGAGCACTGCCACACTCCAAAGTGGCGCACTATAGCAGTGCGCCACCAGGCCGGCCCTCTAATTTTATTTTTAACATGGTAAAAAAAAAAAATCATATATTACAGAAAGTGGGTTCTCAGTTTTACTACCAAACTACCCTGGGTAATTTCTTAGAATTCTTCCAGGAAATAGAAAGATAAACATATTTTTAAATTATGTTTTATTCATGTAAACATAAATGCATAATTAAACTAGTAGCTCCACAACTAGAATTACATGCACTTTGCTTTTATAAATTAATACATCTTATTTTTTCACAAACACTTATAGATACAGCTCATTCTTTTTTGTTGGGAAAATACAAGGGTACTTCAAAAAGTTTGTAGACAAATGTAATTAAAAGGTTAAATGAATCTTTCCGTGGACTTTTTAATGTACCCTTATATATCCCATTGTATGTTTTTCAATGGAATGAGTTCATGGGATAATTAATTTAACCAGTCGTGTTTGATTAAATTTGTTATTTTCCATTTTATTGTATTGTTTTATTTTATCTTGCTGTTAAGAATATTGTAAATGATAGAAAAAAGGAGAGGTGGGGAAAAGAAGGTAAATATACAATGCTGGATTTATTAGATTTATTTTATATAGTAATATTATATTTTCAAATATATATGCTTGCTATAATAATTCTAAACAAATAAAGACATATAAAGAAAATAATTTTATATTCCCCTTTCAATTACAATATCCTGATGTAAGGATAGTTCATATTTACACTGTATTCTGTTCTTTTGGTCAGTGCTTATATATATATAAATATACACACACACACACACACACACACACACATATGTAACTAAACATACATGCATATATTTAGATCATTTTTTCTTTTTTACAGAAAAAGGAAAATTTTAGTAAACAGAGGTATAGAGAAATTTAAACCTATTGAATATAATATTTTTCTTTCTGAAAATGTTCTGCATTCAGATATTTAAATTTAAGACATTAATTGGTTTAAACTTTTGATTTGATTATTATCAGTTCTGGAAAAAGTGTTGAATAATTTACATTTGAATCCTTTGGAATCTGGCCATCACTATAATCTATTATTAAAATATTTAAACCAAAAGTTAAAAATATTTAACTTTTAATTATTTTATAAATTTTTATGATCTTTTAGTTTTATTATTTTAATTCTGCTATAACA